TGATTTTTTGGCACTAGTCGAGGTGAGAGTACACAAATCAGAGCACGATTCATCGACGAGCGAGCGTGCGCCATTCCGTGTCATCGTTGCGCCATTATTCCGCGACGTGATGATTCACACAATGCCTATCTTTTTTTTTTGTGCCCGTTTCACGCTTTTCCGAGTCCTCCTCTGGATCCTTAAGCAGCTAAGAGCCCGTGATCCGTGATCGCCATGGCCGGAAGAAGAGATCGAGAGCAGGGGTGCAGCGAAACCTCGAAAACTTCTTTAGCGCAACAATGGCGTACGTCGATTTTAAAAAGATCGAACGAATTTACCGTCACTTTCACACCTCTACACGGGTCGACCTAAGACCTATAACAAATACCTTATGGGCGTAATCTTGGTCGGGGCCCTCCCGCTACGGTAGGACCCCTGCGCCGGGCCCCATTATGATATCCGCGGTATTGTCGAGGTGTCGAATCTGTCTACAAATAACCACTAGAGAAATGGTTACTCAGTCTCGCTACTCTCTTTCGCTCCCTTGGCTCTTCCCTCCGTTCCGCTCCCTTCGCCACAGAAGTATACTGCTGTCTCTCGTTCGCTCGCCCGTTCTTCATGCGTCGCCCTCTTACCCCTCGTCACCGTTCTCATTCCGCGTCTCTCCATTCAAAGTGGACTACATTATTTCGTTGTAAGGCCTCGACCACGCCGCATTATCCTAAACATCTAAATCCGGACAGCTGGAGCCCTTTCAGCGATTCTCAACTTAATCCTCGGGAGATGGTCACATATTTCTAAATTTCTATATTAGATCATAATATTCTTTTTCGAAAACGATTACGAGTATTTTTTTACACATCACTGTATGCTTAACATAAGATACAAATAATTCGCAAATAATGTTTATATGATTTTTAAAATTTAATGATATCAATGATGGATGTGATAGTATATTTAATAATTTTAATTATACTTAGTTTTGATAGTGCTTTCCTGCTGTAAATCTGTGAAAATTTATTAAAAATCTATTTTATTTCCTTGAGCACGATATATTATATCGTTATATAAAGTATTTTTACATTAAAAAATGAGGAGCAATTAAAAATGTTTTTCAATCGTTTGCATCAACTCGTTCTCATCTCGAGAGTTTATGTACTATCTTAATGTTGATCATGAGAACCACTTCCTAATGAATGCGCCAGAGGTGTCAGAGCAGCAACTGTCAAAACACGACCGGCAAGACGGCGACCGTGCCATCGAGTGCATGACGGAGATAAACGATAGCAGAGTGAGAGAAAGACAGAGCGGACCTTTTCACGCCATATTGGATATACCTTCAAAACAGTGCATGCCACCGAAGCCTATCGATAATCGCGACACCCATCCCTTTATTCCATCGTACGAAATTCCCGCAGACGCGTGTACGTTGCGGACAAAACAGACAGTTGTTGCGGGGTAGCGTTTTTCAGTCTCCCTCCCCTTATCGCGCCCTCTTGTCGAGTTATTGTCGATGCGATCCTCTGGTCAAGTAAACCAACGTTTTTCCACGAATAGACTAAAACCCCACAACTCTCTCTTCATTCAATTCATTCATGTTTTTTCTGTCTTTTTCCTCTTTTAGAGATATAAATAATAAATATTATATAAATAAATATGTAATAATGTGTGTGTGTGTTCGATTATTTATCAACATTTTATGTTGTGTATGGGTTGTTTAATCAATTTGAAATTTTTATCTTTTCGCAGCTAATGTTACCTTTCGTTACTTAAGCATACTAGCGAAAAGATAAATCTATTAATTATTCATATTTTTTTTATAAAAAAGATTTTTACTTGCGTTTAAATCTGTATTTTTAAAGATTAATTTTGTTCCCTAAATCATACATAATTCGTTTACTAAATTATAAAATCTTGGCTGAATTCATGTTGCGTAGTCGCTTGAAAATCTTTTCATGTAATCTTTGATAAAGAATGAAAAAGGATTTAACGCGTATCATAGAAACAACACGTTGCCATGTCAGACACAGGTTCCATGATTTCTCTTAAAAGTCACCGGCTGAAAGCCGCCGCGACAAGCCTGAGAGCGCTACGTAAAAGTTCGCGTATTGCTCCATTCCCCGCATCCCGACGACTCCATCTTCGTGTCTGGAAATCTACCCAGCTGCCGAGCGCCAACGAAGGGGAGAGACGAGGCGGACGTGCGATAGAAGAGGAAGAAGATACGAGAGATGGAGGCAGGAGGGGAAGAGAGAGAGAGAGAGAGAGGAAGTGGTCGCATGTGGAGGTATCAAGCAGGGTGGAGTCGACGTTGAGAGAGAACTTAGGCGTGCGCCCTGAGCATATCGGCTTTTCGGGAGAGTCTTGGTCGATGTTCCCTGGTTCCTGGTTAACCCGCGGGATCGGTTACAAGGCGACCCGGCCAGCCGATTGGTTCATTTTGTCAGCGACACCCGCCCACGCCGTGTTATCGCGCAACCACTCTGTCTGCCTCTCTCTTTTTCGTAGCTCTCTGTTTCAACCGCCTCTCCTCTGCTTCTCTCTATCTCGTTTCTACCTGTCTTGCTATACTTATCTATCAATTCGTCTCTCTGTCTCTCTTCATCGATAATCCGGTCTTCCCTCATCACATTCTAACGCGCGTTTCGTGCCCAACTCGAGCCTACCGGCTCGCTTTTGACCTTCGACGAAAAGAAAAAAAAAAGTGAAATAAAAGATCGTCTGGACACGACTCTAAGATTGTTAACGGCCGATGACTTCGCAATTTTTCAACAGCCTGGCGTGGAAGCCGTGCGACGTGCGAACCTGTGGGAAGGACGGGACTATTTTAGCAATAACGTGCTCCTTCTTGCACAGTATCGTTTTAATCGTGGTGTGACACGCGAACGTAATGAGAAATTGCTAATGAGAAGTTTTATAAATAAAATAATAATTTTCATTTCGGGACGCATGCATTTTTCAACGTCGTACAACAACGCGAGAGAAACGCGCGTATTCCACTTGTGATAGTGATTTCGTTATCACGGGATCGTGTGTCCGGCGTTGTCGAATCGCGCGGCATAAATGTTAAGCCATTTTAATGCGTCGATGCGTTTAACACGTTTCGTGGATTATGCGCGAAATTTGCCACTCCGTTTAACAGTCAGGACCGGATAGGATGTATAATGGATGCGAGGATGCGGACAAAATACTCATGATGGTCTGTTGTAATGTCATAATAATCTGTTAATATATTTTCGCGCGAACGTATGTACAGGCGCAAATAATAATAATAATAATATTAATATTAATAATATTAATAATAATAATGCTTCATTTCTTTTTCATATATTTATATATGTATAATTTCGTATCGATAGTCTTTAGGTAAATTACGTGAGTCTTATACCTATAGTATATGTATATATATACTATATATATATGTATATCGTATGTATAGCGTACGTATTGTTGTAATATGTTCATATTTATAAGACGGATTATACAAGAATTTTGCTAATCGAGTCTATCTACAAGAGGAGGGTGAAAGCATGAGGTTCCTATCGTCTCGCGCTTAATAGGATCGATTAGCCATACTCGGCCTCGAAATTCTCTTCTACGCTCTTTTTATTCCCAGAGTGTGACGCAGGCCTTCCCCAAAGAGCCAGGCGATTAATGAAATATACAATGTCGCTAGTTTCTACTTAACCTAACGGGGAGGGAATTGGCGGGGGAGGAGCGTAAATTGGCTCGTTCGGGTATCGCACTCTTTTCTATAAAATAAAAGCCATGTTTTTTTCTCTCGTTCAAACCCGAGCTGTTCTTGTAATTTTATCTAAAGTGTGAAGCTTTTTCTCATTCTTCAAAAAATGAAGGATTACAATTGATATAGAACACATGTACAATCATAATAATAACATGGATAATTGAGATATAAACAATTATGCTACGAATGTAACTGAAGTCTTAAAATGGTATTATATTACAAATGCACAAAATAAAAACCATGAGGAAGAAATTGTAGACATTTTGGACTCTTCTTATATATGTATATAAGCAATTAATAAAAAAAGAAGAATCACAGAACGTAAGATTTATGAAAGTGTATCAGAATAATTTTTGAAATGAAATGCAAAAAGAAGCGATAATGGAATGTAAATATTTTATAAACGGAAATCATAAATAAAAATTATAGTTTAGCAGAAAAAAAGCACGTGTGACTATATTTGCTTTGAAACTTTGAAGTTTTCTAAGATATCTGGTGACGGTATAGATTTCTTAGCACAAAGAAAAGTTATTCAAAAAAAGAAATAGATTTTATTAGTGACCTCAGTAATATGATTCAGCACAATTGTTGTGCATTTTCATTCATTTTAAACGAAAGAGAGAAATACAAAATAAAGAAGAAGAACTGCTCTTGGGTGTTAGAGAATATTTCATTGCGGCTACGACATTTTCCAATTTCTCGAATATCGATATCGTAATGCAGTGGTTTCTGTCTGTAGCTAGGTATTGGGAATTCTCGTGTTTTCTGCGCATCGGCCATCGAGTCTTACGATGAAATCATTACCGTAGCGAGTTGAATTCGAGTTTTCTCGCATTTTCATTTTGTCGCCTTGTAGGTTGGTTTGCTACTTCGACGTCCGATGCCGGCAAAATGCAGGATTTTCATATATAAGAAATTAAAATTTTATCATAAAGAAACAAATTTATGTAGTAAGGAAATCAGAGTTTCTTTAAAAAAATTTCTTTAAATAATTTCAAAACCTCAATAACACGATATTGAAGAGAAGTTTTTAATTACATAATTCATTTCTTTGAGTTAAGTAAATTCTTTATCAAATATATTTCTATATAATTGCAATTGAAATGTTCAACATGATTTTATGTATAACATATACTATGTAACCCATACAAATGTGCATATTATAATATATGCACGTTAGTATATATGTGTATACTGTATATAATGTAGATAACACAGAAAAATGAAAATTAAATATATTTTCGAAAGCGTTTACTTCTCTCATGAAAATCCTGTACAATTCGCTGGTTGATCAATCAATCTCAGAGACTATTCATGATAGAGAGTATCAACTAGAAAGCGGCGCTATTTACAAACTATAAGACTCACTGCATCTGGTTCTTGGATTTCGATGAACGGACGAATTGGGAACGTCCAACGGAAGTTATGTACACGCCCTGATCGTTTGTTTTTTTCTTTTTAAAATTCGAGAGATTGCACTTATTTAGCGGATTTGCACTCACTTTTCGAAACGTCTATTTCCGCATTTTATAAGAGCGTCCTATCACACATCACTAAATGAATTCTTCCTAAGATTCATAGTGTAGTAACTTCTCATGTCTCCGAGTAGAACTTTCGGCAATGTATCTATGTATTGGTATCGTTGATTCTCCTTTGCGTGCATTATTTCTAGCTCCTTAGATCTGTTTTTCAGTAAAGCTAACTGTTGTTGTGGAAGAAAACCATCTTGCTAGATACTGGTTCACATCTTGCATCTATCTTTGAATAATCTCCGTAACTTTATTGATCCTAGTCCGTTTCGTTATATCGGTCTTCACGAAACTGTGAAAAGTTCCCTCAGAATGTTGGATCTGTGATACCACGCACATTTATAATTTTCTATAGACACAACCGATTCTTCCCTGTGATCCATGATGATTCTTCTCAAAACCCCCGCCTTCACAACACCTCGAAACTCTCATTCACGACGTTACCGCACCTGTAGCTCTTTTTCGACATTAAACGATTATCTGTATCGACGGCGTTTTGCGATTCGTCGTCCTTGTCGTATCACGCAGGCGAAAAGGGCCTATGAATCTGCGGTCTCGGATTCGCTGGTGGTGGCGTTGCGACCCTTATCAACCCCTGACCTTGGGACTGACCCTGAGGTGTTGGTTGACGGGGAGGTGGACTTCCTCGAGACGAGGGGGTATGCGGGCTAGGTACAGCCACCCTCAGCGGACCGGTGACCGATAGGTTTGCCGCCATCAATGGTGGGCTGTGGGCCTCCGATAAGCTGTCCGAAAGACGAGATAACCCACCGTCCGATAATCGCGACGTTTCGGATATCCTAGATATTCCCTCGGACAGCTGATGCTGGGGGTGCGGGTGGTGTAGCAGACCTTCGTGCGGATGCAATCTTGGCGGTGGCAAACCCAGCGAATCCGGCAGTCTGTAATAGAGTAAAGAAAGAACTGCATTTTCTCTGGAGAAAATACAGTTTAGCAGAATCGCGGTCTATTATGGGACATCTTATTATTGTAATAATATATAATATAATATCAATTTGCATATAATTTACATGGATGTATAAACTCTTGGATAGATTGATAGAAATCAGTGAGAATAAACAATAAAATATCTCGAAAACAAATTCGTGAAAAGAAATCAGCTGCAAAAACTTACCTCGTCGCCGGATCACCCCTGGGTCCTACAGCCTGGAAAGGGCTCGACTCCGCGAACCTGAAAATCCCACCACCCGGCATATTCGGATGGTTAGGCTGCGGACTATGCGGTCCAAATCGGAAGCTCGTCGGTGGGAACTTGAAAGCCGTCGTATGACCGAATCGAAAGTGCGTCTGCGTAGGATCGAAACGGAAGTTCAAAGAGGGTGGTGGCAAAGGTCCGAGAGATCCAAGCGGTACCGGGGACGGTTGGTGGTTCGGTGGCGGCGAGGAACTTGGTGATGGAGGTGATGTTCCTCCGAGGGAAATGTCGGACTCTTCGCTGCTGCTGCCGCCGGGTCCCGGACTCAGAGTACGTCGCGCGTTTCCGTTTCCTTGACCCGACTGTTGCTGCATTCTGCTGCAAATAACGCGTAATTTGCGGTTATTAACTGATATTGTTGGTGCATTAAAACAAAGTTTAAGGATCATAAAACGATTGTTGTTCGATAAGAGCATTCAATATTTTAGTAAACGAAGGGAAGTGATCAAAGAAAAGACAATAAGCAATTTAATGTAGAAATAAAATTTTGTATAAACTTTAATAAATAATAGAAGCGATAGAGAATATGATAACATTAGAATTTATCAATAGTTTAGATTCTCTGAAATTACACATAAAAAGTAATATACAGAAAAAATTAAGCAGTATACATATCATTTAAATAAAACAATTATAGACCAGGGAGAGATGAGAAGAAAAAAGAAGCGCAGCGAGAAATTATAATTATAATGGTTGTTACTAAAAATTCTAAGATCGTCGATTCCAGCTGCCGTATTTAATTTCGAAACAAAAAGAATAAAAAAAGAATGAAAAGAAGAAAGCATCGTCGACTGCGTGAAGTCTAAATCGCTTATAGCTTTTCAACAAGGGGCGAAGGCGCGTGTGGTCGCGATGGGAATTTTAATTCGTTCCCGCTTTAGGTGGCACATAAGTTGTGGACGTGGTGGATATGCGCGGTACTGAAAACACTTTGTTTCCAGTCATCGCCGCGCAGAGAGCGCGGCCGTAATTAATGAGCGCGCTCATCCTTCCCAGGTGGAGGCGGCCGAGGATTCACGGGAGAGTAACGACGATCTCCCGACGACGGGGCTCTCGCATAAAGGAGGGGATCCACCTCATTACTCGGCAGATCACGTATAGATATGGGAAAACATGGTAAACTTCACACGCGCGCGAAATGACGAATGACCATGCGTTAGGGTAGCCGAGGTGTTGGGTGTATCGTCGGAACGGAAAAGATATTATTAAGTCGATCCACTGCCTCAAAAAAACGTGCTCCTTCTAGCGGCAATTAAAGATTTATGTGATATCCCAGACTGGATTGATATTAACTTGTTAAGAGCCTTAAGCCTCGCGCGAGATCACGCGCGATTCCTATCTTGGGAATCAGGTTTATCGAATCGCGGATAGTCTGATCGATCATGGAATTCCACGATGGGGACGCGAACGTTGAAGTGGCGCCGGAAGTGGCGGAAAACGGAGGTCGACTTGGTAAATGTCATCGAGAAAACGTTATTTCGAAAGCAGACGATCGTGTTTATCGCCTATTGACTCGCAATTGCAAAGTGGGGGGAGGGGGAGGAAGAGGAAAACCACCTCCGCTTGGAAATACAAGGATGAAGAGCGCGCGCGAGAGTCGTTCGCCATTCTGTTAAAGACAATGAGGCGTCGCGGTCGTCTTAAAAGCCTCTCGGCCGCAGATCGATCCTGTAGCGGGGCTTCCGAGATCCTCTCGTATTTTCTTTGCTAATCGAGTCTCGAGTCGGACCCGTACTGTTACCACGGTAACGCCTCCTCGAGAGGCGGAAACGTCGGATTGTTCGACCTGTCTCTGTCTCTTTCTTGCGATCAGGGAAAAAAAATCCGATTGCGATGAACAGTAACCCCGAGACGAATCATTCGTCCCCGAGAAACGCGTTCGCGATGCAGATCGATCTCATTCGCAATATCTACAATTTTTAATTCCACCGAGACAGATAATAAGATTATCACAGTATTCCTGTTATTGTACGAAGTTAAGTGTTTTAGTACAATATTTTGATTAAAACTGGTGCTTGTGTGTCCTTTAAAATAAATTCTGCAATTTTACCATTCTGCAGAAAAGAGATGTAGGCAATGGCAAAAAAAAAAGAAATTAATGATATTTTTTACGACCCTTATCACGCTCGAAATATGCTCCGCCTAAGGTTATTTAATTAACACCACAAAAATACGTCTTGTATTTTACGTGAATATTCATGTAAGCTCCCTTTTCATCGCGTCTAATGGCGTACTCAGTTAGATTAATATGACACACGTCTGCGTACAGGCGAATCCTTCCGACGGTGGTGTTGAAATAATCTCCGATCGTACGTAGCAGGTACCGCGACTGAAGAGCTAAAAAGTACGCGATGTGTTAATCAGATGAAATAGCGTCATGTTCTTGCCAACGCAATCGGAACTTGATCGTGGCTGAATTATACTCGTGAATAATGAAATAACCGACCGTGAATACACGCGCCGTTCGATTTTGATTTTGTGCGAGCACGGTCATGGTACAAAAGACAAGAGCGGCTATTAACACATGATTCAAGATCTGCTATCACAAGCGGGAATCGAGTTCCGTTTTATTACTTGTGCTTTCAATTCTCTGTTCACTTATCTCTCGTTTGTTATCTGATATCTGTTCTGCGCTTATGTATTATATATGCATTTATATCCCTCTGATTTTTCACCAACTTGCAACTTTTAATACATATAACGTTATGTTTTACCAAACACTTGGAATTCATATTTGCTTATTTATTGCTTCGTCGACGCAGCAAAAAATAACACGTGCACAATTTTCACACTTTTGTAAGTTTCGCTTTTTTTTTTCGTCTCATTCTTTCACCCACGCCATCGCCTTTCTCTTCGTCCCCATATGCGAGACATCCGACGCATTTTAATTATGCTCCTGGACCGCTGGCCTTTATCTTCGGCCTTTCACGAGATACCCGCACGAGGCGGCACGACTTATTATGTGCCGGGGCCTTCCGTCCCGTCCCACACGGTGTTCCACGGTGATCGTCCATTGAGATCGTCTTAATGTCGTGGCATTAAAGCGCGAGGACTCGGGTGTCAATTTTTCGGCACGCATAAAAGGAGCATTAAAGCTCTGCGGTTTAAATTTCGATGTACCGTGCAACGCTGCGGTCCATATTAATTGCGTTTCGATAAGCGAGAAATCGAATAGTTTCGATATCTTTGTCATCATCTGTCTACAGCGACAGCAACGTTGTCTGTATTCATGCAACGATTTCTTTACTTCAGTGGATTTTCATGCCAAATTGAAGTAATTCATAAATTAATATGATATTCTGAGTTACAAAGAGAGAAAACTATGTAAATTAAAATACTGAATTTCAAACAACTTGAGGCGCTAAATGACAGGACGATACTCCTACAGATAAATTCGAGATATTTTTCCGTAACTGGGAATATTATCCTTGACATTTAGCTGGTATTTGATTTTCACTCTTCAATTATGATAGTTGAAACGATGAAATATTGTATTTAATCGTCGTTTAATCCGATCACCTGTATGCCTTCAATCCATTAAATCAGCATGCTCGTAATTCTTGTTTCACAGAGCTATTACTTATGAATTTACACATCTTCGTAATATCTTTTAAATATTTCTATCAACGCTAATAAGGGATTAAGCGCGGATCCATCGGGGAGCCAGTTGTAGAATAATTTACGATCGAATTATGCCAGTCTCCTCTCTTCTCGGAGGCCAACATTAAATTTTCCGCCCATCGACGTTCGGAAAAAGATTAATGAAGCGTATGTCATTATAATTACTATCCGAACCAGTAAATAGACTTTTTGCACTTATACATTGTCTTAGCGTTTGATAATCTCGTTTACAAAACAACACAAAAGTTAAGACAGTTCTAGTAAAGGACAACGAAAATATATCTTTATGCGTAGATATAAAAGGAAAATAATGTTTGATACGTTCCTCTTTTTAAATTCTCAAAAAATATATTTATAACTCGAAGGCAAATTTTCGTTTAAATACTTGTCCGAATAAACACGCGTAACGCGAACTCGATTCGCCTCTTCGCGGTTCGCTTTTCTTTTCCGGGTGCACTAAGAACGATTTCGTATGCACTTCGTTATGCATTTACGCATTGCTCGTACACAAGCGCGCGCGCGCGCGCGCACGAATTCGCGTGGCGAATCGCAGCGCCGAAAGAGCCGCGCGATGGCAAAGGCCAACAGGTGACGTTGTACTTTCGGCGCGAGACGCGGCGGTGATTAAAAAAGAAATTCATCAGCGCGCCGGGGGAAAGTATCAGGTGCAGCAGCGACGGACAAGAGAGGGGACGGTTGCACCGCCGCCGTTAAAGTATTTATGCCGCATGACGAGTCACTTTTGGAATCCCGCCGTATATTATAAAGTATTATGCACGGGGACGATGACCAGGGCTCAAACCGTGACGGAAGCTACTGTAATTACGCGCAAGATGGTCGTGCGTAGCCGACGTTGGTAGCCTCCATTGATCCCCGATCGAGAAACACGCGGTGAAAGGTGTGCGGCTTTTGTCCCGAACCTCGGGGAGACAAGTGTCCGGCTTTATTCGAATTATTCGGAATTACGCTGAGAAATTGCATCGCCAACGCCGTCCTCGTGATTCTCGTTTCAATCGTCACGCTCATACGTAATAACGCAGGTTTAATCCTGGCACTCGGCTAGGTTGCTGTTTTTAGAAGAGAATTAGCATGCAAAGTGGTACTTATAACGCGTTCTTTACGAATATCAGCAGTCTATATATTTTTTATATACTGTTTAGTATTAATAAACCGATTACGTTGTACCTATGACGTTAATTATTGAACTTTGAATCGTTCGTGACACAATAAAAAATTCATCGCGTTATAATTAACTGTACCTGCTAGATGACCGTACTGACGTATTATTCGCCTTGCTCGACTCTTCGAGTTGAAATCACGGCACCGCCGAATCAACGTAATTCTTCACGAACGAGTTTCACTCTTTCCCTCTTTTTATAGAGCGTAAAAAAAGCGATCGATTTCAAGTCTGATATCACGAGCGGATCTATCTTGAGAGTTCCGCGAGACTGACGGGGGATATCATTTTAACAAAATCTACCCCGGTGTCAGGGGACACCATGGATTTTGGTGCGCGAGACCAATATCCCTTCTTTCTGCCTCTTCCCCCCCTTGTTCGGACCCCTCGTTCGGACCAACCCCGTGCCGATGCTAAATACCCGGTGCGTACAATGGAGTACATATCGTTCGAGAATCTGAGCCATGCGAAGTCTTCCACAAAAGGTAACTGGATACCGGTACGAGGAAGAGACGGCATG